GCAGAAGTGAGAGTGGGTACCTATCAATTTCGGGTACCTGCCCCCCCCCCCCCCGCTCCCTGAGGTGTCAATCCTTAATTGGGTGCGGGGGACCAGTCTTTAAAGCGGAACTTCCCCTTTTGGGTGGAGCTCTGCTTTAAGAAAGAAGGCAGTGTGATGTCGTGCTGGTCCCGGAAACCCCCTTTTTTCTGCTCACCGCATGCTGCCACCTACTGTCTGGCAAACCTGTCAGCAATGCACATCATTGCATAGCCAGTTAACTCTTTCCTATGCTATCCAAAATTTTAAAATACATTTTTGGCTGGAGTTACACCTAATGTACCTGTAATGTATTGTACCTGTTCCAACTTACATACAAATTCAACTTAAAGCGTTACTAAACCCACAACAGTAAAATCAGTCTGTATATGCAGTAAAGCATGCTTGTTATACTTCCTGTGGATCCTTAGGGGTTAATCCTCTGCATTATGTAAAAGGATGTTTGATCCTGTCTTCTCTGATCCTCCCTTTCTTCCAGTGTCTCCCTTTTATCTCCTGATAAGACATATCGTGTGGATACACTGCACATGCTCAGTTTGGTGTGTATTGCTAGAATGTTTTTTTTCCTCTTGGGAGAGTGCATGTGATCAGTACAGGGCCGTTCAGCACTGCCCATACAGAGGACAGGGGTTCTATATCCTCCAAGAGAAATCTCCTCCTACAAGCTTTAACCAGTGCTCTGCTGAACACTGATAGAAGTCACAAAACTGCTCTAACTGCTGATTAGAAAATGTATTTAGCAGTTTATATTTACTGAAATAAATGCATTTCCATGTTCTGTGTACTGTGGGAGACCAGATATAGTGAATGAATGTAGGGGCTTAGTAACACTTTAAGAACAGACCTACAGAACCTACAGAAACTTGTTTGTAACCCGGGGGACTGTCTGTATTTCACATCCTAGTAAATTAGACTTTTTTTTTATATCCCCCCCCCCCCCCCAACAGAGTTAACAGGCACTGGCAAAACCATAGTGAAAATGTTATTTGGGGCTAATGTTTCATACTATCATGGAAATTGATTCCATAATAGGAATGGTAAATAGCCTTGTAACCAAAACCATCTAAGTAACTTCTAAGCCCATAGTAAACTTCATCAAGGTCTTCTATAATTTATCTTTTCAGTATCACTAATTATAGGACACCATAGTCACTTACAGGTGAAACTCGAAAAATTAGAATATCGTGCAAAATTTCTTTTTTTTCAGTAATGCAACTTAAAAGGTGAAACTAATATATGAGATAGACTCATTACATGCAAAGCAAGATAGTTAAAGCCATGATTTGTGATGATTATGGTTTACAGCTCATGAAAACCCCAAATCCACAATCTCAGAAAATTAGAATATTACATGCAATCAATAAAACAAGGATTGTACATAGAACAATATCGGACCTCTGAAAAGTATAAGCATGCATATGTACTCAGTACTTGGTTTGGGCCCCTTTTGCAGCAATTACTGCCTCAATGCGGTGTGGCATGGAATCTATCAGTCTGTGGCACTGCTGAGGTGTTATGGAAGACCAGGATGTTTCAATAGCGGCCTTCAGCTCTTCTGCATTGTTCGGTCTCATGTCTCTCATCTTTCTCTTGGCAATGCCCCATAGATTCTCTATGGGGTTCAGGTCAGGCACGTTGCTGGCCAATCAAGCACGGTAATCCCACGGTCATTGAAGGTTTTGGTGCTTTTGGCAGTGTGGGCAGGTGCCAAGTCCTGCTGGAAAATGAAGTCTGCATCCCCATAAAGCTCGTCTGTGGAAGGAAGCATGAAGTGTTCCAAAATCTCCTGGTAGATGGCTGCGTTGGCCCTGGACTTAATGAAGCATAGTGGACCAACACCAGCAGATGACATGGCTCCCTAAATCAACACAGACTGTGGAAACTTCACACTGGACTTCAAGCATCTTGCAGTGGTGCCTCTCCATTCTTCCTCCATACTCTGGGTCCTTGGTTTCCAAATGAGATGCAAAAGTTGCTCTCATCAGAAAAGAGGACTTTGGACCACTGAGCAACAGACCAGGTCTGTTTTTCTTTAGCCCAGGTAAGACGCTTCTGACGTTTGTTGTTCAGGAGCAGCTTGACACTTTTGAATGGCCTTTTCCTGACAATCCTCTCCAGGCTGCGGCCATCCCTGCTGTTATGGCTTAATTAGCTGATTAGAGTGGGACACTTTGAGCCTAGAATATTGCACCTTTCCACAATAAGCCATAATCATCACAATTATGACAAATCACGGCTTGAACTATCTTGCTTTGCATGTAATGAGTCTATCTCTTATATTAGTTTCACCTTTTAAGTTGCATTATTGAAATAAATGAACTTTTGCACGATATTCTAATTTTTCGAGTTTCACCTGTATATGGCTTTAGGTACAGAAGTACAAAATGTACAAACCTACATTTGTAGTTTTATCATAAAACAAGCTTATCTTTCACTGGGAATCTAGCAGTACTGTGTTTCGGAAATTACTTACCCTGCAATATAGTCTCAACCATCAACAGTTTGCAATGTATAAAACAGAAATATAAGGCACACAAGTTCACTAATACTTTCAGACTTGCCAACCCTTTGTACAGATACCAGAGATATTTTCAAATTATTTAGTCTGGACTTGACCAGAGAGTGCAAAGCAATACTGTTCTGTCAAAACAGAGTGGCCAAAATGTGTGTATAACCTAGTTGTATGTGTTTCAAAATATAAAACTGGTCATGTGTTGAGAGTGATAGGCAGACCTGAAGCCAGTCAAGGTCAAGTGGACAAAAATTGACCCCTATGCCCAATCAGTACTGTTGGGAGACTCAAGTGTAAAATATTCTACACAAATCTCTTTTAGTAAATGTGAGAATTTCTAACTCAGGCTAGGCCATTTAACCCAAAATTGTTTTTAGCATTGCTACAAAGCAATTAATGAGCTGTTCTTCCCTATATGATAAGTTTGCTATCCAACTCTTGGTGCCCATAAAAACATTGAATATTTTTTTTTTCTCCCAGAATGCATTTACTTCTAAAAGGAGAGTATTTTAAAACATTGTCTAGCGGTCACTGAAAGTAGCTTGTACATAACAAAATCGTTCTTGAATACTATGAATTAGTTTGTACATCATAACTATAATCAATGGATTACTTGCATCTATAACCAAATAGAATACAAACAAGTCGAGTTGTACCATGTACATAGGCCATACTCTGGCAAGTAGGAATTTATGCTGCCTAAATGTTTCTTTGGCAGAGAAATCTTCCTTGCAGTGAGGGGATTAACTGCCAATTTACCTTGAGAGAAAAACAAGGCAAGACGCAGTAAGATAAATGCTTTTCCCTGGTAACACACAAATGATTTCCTCCTGTGCTCTGCTACTTTGTGTGCGACTCACCATTGTGTCTAAAATATGAGGGAAAAATATATAATTCAACCAGGTTTCACATGCAAGGCGCTAAGGGATTGTGCCGCCATTGAGTGCCTCTCTTTATTATCCCTTATTCCTATTAAATCAAATGGCTTTTAACTTGTCACAGCTGCTTGCGGGCACGGCACAAATGAGAACAGTTGACTTCCATGTGATGTTGTACAATGCTTGTGTTATTAATGGCTTCGCTATATGTTGTGCCAAAGTCATCTCTAGTCTCCTCCACACGCCATGCTAATTAATTATGAGAGGAATGTCTTTTTCCAATCATTATCGGGTGGCAAAATTAGACAAAAATCACAATTCCAAGGCTGATTTACAAAATGTTTGCATTGCTATGTCTTTTATATTGTTTCTCTGTGCTATAAAGGTATAGTATATTGTGAAAATTAAACTGTATGCTAAATTGTGTAATATTATTTGTTAATTTAAAAAACTTTACAGCAATATTTCTCTTACTAGTGTAACTCAGGGTTCATGCCATAACTGCAAACGTGTGCCAGCTTTCTCAGACGATTTTACCTATTGGCAGCAGAAATCCTCAAAGCATTTTTACTCTAGAATGCTGAATCCAGACATGTTGAGATGAATAAAACTAGGGTAAAAATATACTCCAGTTTAGCAGTTTTACAGTAGATAGCACATACTTCTTCCAAGCAATGAGCCCAATTAGAGTATTTTTTGGGATAGTCAAAATATAATGATTTTTTCTAGGGATTCAAAGTTGAAAAATCACAGTGTAAGCAGACACAATTTGTTTAGTTTTCTATGGCAAAAAAAAGTGAAGACATATTTTACCACACATGTACCACTAAGACCAATCTGCTAAGTCAGGGAGAAAACTGCAGCAGATTCCAAATTGATGCCAATAAATGCAGGCAAAAATTGTACTCCTCATTGCCTGTCTATCTATGTTTGACCACCCAATCTTTGAGTATATGTATTGGTGCTAAACAAATACATACTGGGGCGTACAGTGAAAGTTTCCATATGAACAGTTGAAGCCCTCATGCAGTTATATATGAAGCAGTCATTTGTCAGGTTTTAAAGTTGAGTATCCATGGGCAGATTATCAGCAAAAATGTCTAAAACAACGTCACTTGGTTTAAAATAAAACCATTTTTGATGACCTTTGAGAATTTATATTTTATTCCTACACACTTCTATTTAGGTGGATATTTGGTAAAATGGCTCTACACCAGCATTTCTCAACCAGGGTGACTTGAGGCTTCTTCAGGGGTGCCTTGGAAAAATGTCCAAAATTGCCCAAAACTTGTATACAAGCCAGTGGGTGGAACAAGCCTGCCTTTTAATTACGCAAATCCACAGGTTTTTATTACTGGCACACAGGCACCATTACGACCTTCTAGCCTAAGGTGTCCTGACAGCCAATAACCTCATCTGTTGATAAGGAGGTTGTCAGCTGCCTGCACAGCATCCTAGTTTTATCATCCCCTGCCTCTTTCTGTCAGTGCTGGGGTCACATTAGCTCAGTGATGGAGAAAAACTGAGGGAGAACAGAAACACTGGAATACTACTCAGTACCAGTGATAGTTGTGTATTTGCTTTGGAAGAATAAATCACCTCTAATGTTGGGTGTCCTACATGTGTGGATGTTGCTGCGTTATACAAAACTATTAGAATAGTTTTTCACATTTTAGAATGGGGTGCCTCAAGACTGTCCATAATTTTAAAAGGTGACCCCTATCTATTAATGCTAAAAACAGAGTGTTTAGTTGCACACATTTACAAATACAGTGATATCTCGGTTCACAAATGCTTCTGTTCGCGAAAAACTTGCGAACAGAAGAGTTTGCAAAAATTTGCTTTGGTTCACGAACTCTGCTTCAGTTGACGAGCACAAGCTGCGGCCATCTTCCCTGCTCTGACACGTGGTCCTGACTTCCTGTAGGCGAGATCGCGGTCACAGAAAGACACTAAAAGTGTACTGTGAAGACACTTACAGTACTGAGAAACTTTTTGGTGTGCTTTTTACATATGTACTGTACTGTACATCCCTGTGCACACGTGCTGTAAAACTTTTTTGTGTGCTTTTTAGCACATATTGTACCAGATATCCAGTATGGCTCCAAAAAAAATTCAGAGCAAGCATCATGGTAGAAAGAAAGTGCGGAGCGGTAATGAAGGTGACAAGAATGTGCAGAGCAAGCATGTTGTTGAAAAAAAAGTGCAGAGTCAAAATGAACGTGACCAGAACGTGCAGAGCGGTGAGGAAGACAAGAATGTGCAGAGCAAGCATGTGTTAAAAAGAGTGCAGGTGGTAATGAAGTGCAACCAGAGCAAACTGTAACAGAGTGTTGAATTGATGAAAAAAACGTGGGTTATGCAGGGCAGGAAAAGACAAGTGACATTGGACAAATGTTTCACCAAAACGTGCACTAAGAGACAAAGAAGACAGGAAACCCATGAAGGAGAACTCCCTAATGTCCTTATGGAGGGGGACTCTCCCTCCAAACAATAACTGCCTCCCATCCGCCTGTCCTCTACGCCAGAAGTCGTCTCAAGCAGGGTTAGTGTTCCCTCTCTTCATATTATACTGTACTGTACTTTTTTTCATATTTTTGTGTTCAAAAACAAAAGTTCAGAATGCCTTAGAACCTTGGTTGGCGACCAAATGAAGGCGGACCTAATTTACATTGAAGGGAAAACCCGGTTCGCGACCAATTCATAAACCAGAGTGTAACGAATTAAGATTGTGAACTGAGGTATTACTGTACTGTAATCTGAAAGCTGCACTGAACAACATAACGTGGTGGTCCTAACTTATTTGAGAGTCAGGAAAAGGACAATATAGACATTGGATACAAATGGCAGGTTTCCTAGAGCAAAACCTGGGTTCGATCGAACCCCAGGGGTTCGGTAAGAGTCTCGGGGGTTCGGCGGAGGTGACCCACACCCGACAGGAAACATGCCCCGCTTGTCCATCATTGGCTGAAGGTGGTCACGCAACATCGCTTAGCCCATGTCCTCGGCAAGCCGCGGCTCTTGGAGGGGGGGCGCCCGCTCTCCCTCCTCTCGGGCGGCAACTCAATAATGATTGGCCAGTCTCTGCCACTCATCCTGATAGCCAGTGATTGGCTGTCAGGTGTGTGTAGGCGGGGCAGCGTCGAACGTGAGCCAAGACCAGAACGTCGTCTCAAGCAGGGTTAGTGTTCTCACAGGGGGGACTTGGGGACTTCATATATGGGGGATACTTAATACTGTAATGAATTTATAGTTTCATATTTTTGTGGTTCAAAATGTACAAAAGTTTACAGAACGGCGCGGGATTTCAGCGTGAATGGATTAACCTTATTTAATTACATATGGGGGATGAACCTTATATGGGGATGTAAAATTTATGATTTGGGGGATGTTATATGGGGGATGACCAAATTCGGGGGATTCGGGGGATGAATTACCACGGGGGATTTACGGGGGAGGGGGGATGAATTACTATGGGGATTAATTACTATAATTTACATATGGGGGATGAATTACTATATGGGGGATGGGAAAATTTGGGGGATGAATTACTATATGGGGGATGAATTACTATAGGGGATGAATTTTCATACCGTTTGTTACAACATATCTTTGCGAGCAATCCTTTTCGAGGATGCTGGACGAATAAAGACGAAGAAAAGGAACAGACTTTGTTGCGAAAATGACATGAGAGTGGCACTTGCCAAGGTAATGCCGCGCATTTCTGAACTGGCCTCTGAAAGACAACAGCAGAAGTCACACTGATTTGCGGTAAATATTCATTATTTTGTTTTTGTGTGAAAATCATGTTTTAATGGTTTTGTTCTTTGTTCTTAATGGTTTTGTTCATTTTGTGCACCTATGTATAAATATATACCTATGTTTTGAATTTTAAAAATCATATTTTTATTTTTCCAATTAAGAAGGGTTTGGTGAATGCGCATATGAAACTCGTGGGGTTCAGTACCTCCAAAAAAGGTTAAGAACCACTGGCCTAGAGGGAGCCCATTCCTCCTTAAATGCACAAGGACCCACTGGATGCCAAGCAAGAGCATAACATAACGTTCATGGGGAAGGCAATGCACATTAAAAAGAAACAACACATTTTCCTAGCACACTCACCAGCTAGCCTGCAAAAATCCAAATTGACCTTGTCTAACAACTTGTATTAAAAACAGGGTTTAGTTGCACACATTTGCAAATATATGTGAAAGCTGCAGTGCCTCGCCAAGCTCCTCCGTATACTCCGGTCCTAACTCTATATTTGAGAGCCTCCAAGTTGCAGCAAATATAGCAGTGGGTAAATTAAGGGAAGGTTTGCCTGGAGGGAGAGCACTCCTCCTTAAAGGCACAGGGACACACTGAATGCCCAGCAAGAGCACAATGGCAGCTAAAAGCATCCAATGTGCCCCCACGCCCTTGAGAAACCTTAGAAAGCAGTGGACCACTGGAGTGAGGTGGTCTCTGCTCTAGGACTACGTGTTTCAGTAGTTACAATGGCTTTGTAGATGAAGTGGGCATTATAGGGTGACTTACATTGCTTATAGTAATGCCTACACAAGATGCTGCTGCCTAGATGATGGCATCCACTATATTTTAGAGAAATATGGCGGTGTCTATGTCAGCCAGGCCACTGATGCCTGTCTTACGTGATGCTGGGTGCCAAGCAGACCAGAAGCGTGTGGCTGGCATTGAGATAAATTGAGCTTAGGATGCTCACTGCAAAGAGGGGAGGAGGGGAAAGCATACACACACTACATTGTTCGATCAGGCACATGTGAAAAAAGGAAAAAACAAAAATGAGACTGGAGTGTGGCTTTAAGCAGCAGTCCCAGCAGTGTTCTGTTAAAGAAAACATATGTTTTTCCCATATACAGTATTTTCTATATGCAAGCACTTTGTTTGGGTTATACAATTTAAAAAAATATTTGTATTTGTTTTTAAATAGATACATCTGAAATATTGTAGATAAATCATTCAAATGTATCCCTTCTAACAGCAAGCGTGATAGGCAACACAAAAATTGTGCTCCCTCCCCAAATGAGAGAGTGAGAGAGTTCAATGAGTGTGTGTGTGTGTATAAGATTTTTGTATTTTTTACTCTCTCTCTCTCCCCCTCTCTCCTGTCGTCCATGCAGCACATGAGATAGATCGTATGGGACTGTACACACACACACAGTATGATTACCACCCCCTACCTCCTCCAAGGGGTGCTCATCTCCGGCAGCAGCAAATGTGGGTAGGGGGTGCTAATCATACTGTGCGTGTGCAGTCCCATACGATCTATCAGTTATCCTGTCTCATGTGCTGCATGGATGACAGGAGGGAGAGCATGGAGAGCACAACACAGCGCACCTCCTCCTGGATCTTTCCTCTCCACCACTTCTCCACTCTCTGCTCCAGATTTCCCCTGGTCCCAGCTCTGAATGTGGACAGGGGAAGGACCTCATCAGCCACTCAGGAAAACCAGGGCACCCCCTCGATCCAGCCAGGTCTGTCTCTCCATCCAGCAGCAGAAAGCCAGCAGGAGGGAGAGGGAGAGAAACCGGCTTTCATCTGCTGGAGGGAGAGATACACATTGCATTGTTCTGCAACTGCCTTCCCCCACCACACCAATCCTCCTGCTGTCTGGGCCACCTACAGCAGTACCAGTGGTACCCATCAGATGGCGGCCCTGCATGGCTCAGTCTGGCGCTGCTCACAAGGTCCCTTCCTCTGGGGAGGGGGGGGGCAATGCCTCCCCCTCCTAAAAATTGCCACCCTAGGTGAACGCCTTGCTTGTCTCACGGTAAATTCACCGCTGCCATAAGTTCACACCTAAATAGCAGGATCACACCAACATACAGTTGAATGAGCCAGCTGAATGACTCAGAGGGACAGACTCTCTCTGAGTAGGGATAGTGACTTTTTTACAGTTCGCACATGCAGTCAGCATGACCAGAGCTTGTTGCATTTATTAGAAATTCCAGCATTCTCTTTAAAGGATAAGTTCACCTTTCGTAACATTTTACATGTTACACCCATATTTAGGGCGTAATATGTTACGATTAGATCAGCCACTGCTGCCCCCAGATCCCCACTTTGACAGCTAGCAGGGGGATCTTCTCCTTCCTTTGCTAGCTGTCAAATATAAAAAAAACAAGGCCATGCGGGGCACCGCCCACACGGCCGCGTCACTTATTCACAGTCATCTGTGAATGAGAGACTACAAGTCCTGACAGCCTTAGCAGCTTTCAGCTTGTAGTCCTCAAGGAACTACCACAATGCCATGGTAGTTCATTCATTCCTCCTGTTGGAATATCTGTTTGCTCATACATGCCATACAAGCAAGCAGATATACTGACAGATCTGCAGGAGACCCGCATGGCACCAGTGATATTCTGATCGTTAGTGCAATGGTTTACAGGCTTCTGCAGACAAAAATAATAAATGCACATTTTATTATCTGCAAAAAAATGTGCATTTATTATTTTTTTTTCTAAAAGGTGAACTTGTCCTTTAAAACATATAGCATGAAATTGGCAGGAATAAAGTGGAACTCCAGGCTAACAGCTAAATGCAAAGGGTTGATTCACTAAAAGCAAATAAGCTGTTCACTTCGGTTCCTATTTCCAATGAGAATAACCTAATATGTCCCCAATTATTTCTCACATTGCTTCTGAGGCTGTAGAACAGATATTAGAGCTCTACACATAATGATTTTCGGCAGGATTTTATATTTCTTGTTTGTCTCTTAATCTAATCAGTGATCTTGGGAGGACCCTGTAAATTAAAGAATACATAACTGACAAACTTTACAAATTTTCAACCCTGCGTATGGCAGAGCTTAAAAATATAA